GATAGATTCAAAAATAAGTGAGCTAGAGGGGGGGACATTTATGGTGAATCACCCTGTATGTTTTGTTTGCCAGTTTCAATCGTGTCGATTTTTGATCTCCAGTTATTCATTAGATTATCTACAGTTTAATTTTGTTTCGTTAGTTCGTTATTTCAATTCATTCATTCGTTGTTTATTCGTGTTTCGTTCATTAGCCATTTGCTAGCTATATTCTTCATCATCAGCTATATTCAGGCTAGATTCAGAATGTACGTCACAATTTGTCGCCCCGAAAATCGGAAATTGCTTTATTTTGAAACTCATTTTATGGAAATTAATCTGAAGGAAACTTCCCCATTCGCGTATTGTAATACGGGAGTAGAAAAAATACTTATGCATAAGGTTGAGGAAATTACACACGAAGTAGCGTTACAACCAGAGTTATATACAACTTTGCAATCCTTACTGAAACGTCATAAAGAAAAATTAATTAGCATAACTTGAGAAGAAATGTTTTCAAACCCGTGATGCGTGGACTAGATTGACATTTTTTCTCAATATCCGGTTTTGATAATGATCACCCCTTTACTCTGACGAGTAATCTGCTCAACCCTATCTTACAGACCTTCCAATGTAGTCATTACAAACAAAAAGTCTGAATGTAAAGTGAACATTTATGTGTTTTATGTAATACTACCTAACATTCCTTGTTTATACTTCTTTCGAAATCATAATAATGGATTGAGCCTACAGGGTCCGGTAATTGGATTAAACGGTGGTGAAAAGATTGCCATGGAATTTTTTTTTATTCGACAAACTTGAAATAGTGATAAGGTTGTAATATATTGTTGAAGGTTTTTTTTTTTACAATAGCAATCAATAATGCTTCGCTATTCATCATGATCCAGTCATTCATGCAAATTTCGAGATTTCATCATCGTCAGACAATCCTGAATTTCATTATGTGGGGATACCCACAAGGCAAAAAGGTAAACTCTACCAGTCGTCAAACAATTCCTGAACTCTAAAAATAGGGAATTCGTGCAGAGATATACAGAGGTATATTTCTAGTGATCCTAATTCAGAATCCATCATTATTTATTCAGTAAAGAATTATCATGATAAAAAATATTGCTCACTTATTTTCTTTGTCAAATGCATTGTATATTGGAATGATAAAAATCGGTACAGTTATGTTTGAATCGATTGTCAATAATAATTTGTCATTAGTTCTTACCAAAAATACCACAGTACATCTTCTGATGACGTATTCAAAAACAATAATAATTCGTTTTTACGGACACCCTATGTATGGTTTATGATAATGACAATCGGTACAGGTATGTTTCATTAAGTGATCCTGATTCAGAATCCATCATTTTTTTACGTGGAAAAATATAAACGCTTAGAAGAAGGCAGAGTACATTTTAGGGGGATGTGATTTTGCAAACTGAGAGAGTTATAAACGAATGTAGAGTCCATGGTATCTCAAAGTGGATTAGTAGAGATGAAGAAGCAAGCAAAGATAGAATTTCCACAATTTTATTACAAGGGAATCAATTTTTCGGACCTACATGGGTCTATCATCAGCCTATGAGTTTAGGCATCACCTATAATTCATAATAATGATGTCGAGTTTGCTTGCTCCTTCATGAAACAGTTATGTTATTCAATTTAGGTAAGTTATTTCAAATATATTTTTTCAGTGACTGAATGACAACCGTTCAATCCTATTGTCGGATCCTGCGTACAGGGTGATTCACCATAAATGTCCCCCCCCTCTAGGTCACTTATTTTTGAACCGATTTGAAAATTTGAAGAATCATCTAAAATGATTTTCCGTAAAATGTTTTCCCGTTGCATCAGGAAATACAGGGTGCTCGGAACAAACGATCTACAGAGTAGGTACTTGAGAGTACTACTTGATTTTTTCAAATGGAACACCCTGTATTTCATTGTATTTTTAGATTCTCCCTGGAGAGCTGATTTGAGTATTTTTTAGAGTCGAAACTATTCATTATTGGTCAAAACGGCTTCAATGTCCCTATCTTAACTTTTAATTTACTATCTACTGACATTTAATTGGAACATATACAGTGTGGTTCAAGATTCAGAATTCTGATCACCCTGTATCTGTTCCAATTATTAAATGTCAGTAGATAGTAAATCAGAAGTTAAGATACGGACATGAAAGCCGTTTCGACCGATAGTGAATAGTTTTGTCACAGAAAAATCCTAAAGTTGAAAAATCTCGATTTTGTACACCCTATATCTCTGTAATCATTCCCGCTAGACCCCAAGTATGATGCATTGATGAAATCAGCTTTTCAGGCAGAATCTAAAAATACAATGAACAATAGGGTGTTCCTTTTGAAAAAATCAAATAGTACCCTGTAGATCGTTTGTTCTGAGCACCTTGTATTTTCTGATGTAGCGGAAAAAAACTCTATCGAAAATCATTTTAGATGATATTCAAAATTTTGCAATCGGTTCAAAAATTACTGAGCTAGAGGGGGGGACATTTATGATGAATCACCCTGTACAATCAACATAATCAAAATATTCATCAATAGTTATCTACTGAGAAACTATATTACAAAAATTTATATCACAAATAAACATAATTTTTCACATTCCTCGTTTGTACTTGGATGATTTCTCCTCAAAAATATCGTGATTTATACTGGGCAAGTTTAATACTGGGAATCCAACTAACATCAGAGCATTTTTAGTTCATTTTCATCATAACAATGAAGTAAAAGCAGTAGTCTTCTTAAGAATATACACTTTTTTACAAGTTTCTTCATCATTTGAATATACAGTGTCATTCCTAAAGTCGGTATCATATGAAAGAAACTTTTAATAATAATAAATGTCGCTCATTGTTGAAAGTTACATTTTTTCAAATTAATCGCTGAAATTATGCGTATTTGTTTGAATTTCAAAAAAAATTTACCGAGAAGAGTTGTTACTATTACAATTTTACGAATTTGAATGTTCTCTAACATGTTTTTGATATTTTTTCAATTAGTTCGAAATATACGTAATATTTAAAAAATGTAACACCGATAAAACTATTTCATTCTAGTAGCTTTATCATGCTACTAACTATCAATCACTAATTATCGAAAGAAATATGATTTTCTTCAGAACATAATAATCCCCGCTTCAAATTACTGTTATGTTTGATGCAAAGTTAATCTTTCGTCTATCATTCAGGAGCGAAATTTATTCAAATTGATTTTTTCAGTGCTAAAATGATGCCAAAGTCATCTATCAAAATATCATCAAACAACTTTACGTATCTAACCAGAGTGTAGGACAGTTTTGTCGAAGTTACAATTAGAAGAAATAAAAAAATATCAAGAACTAAAAGTTGCAATAGAAAGTTCAAATTGGAGACACATGATTGTGGAAAATTGAAATGGAAGGAACTTTTCTTGGTAAACTTTTTTGAAATTCGAAGAAATATGCCTATTTTCAGGGATTGATTTGAAAAAATGTAACTTTTGAAATGTAGCAAACGTCTCGTGACTCCGACCAAAACTCGAATTTCGAAATAATTTATCATTAAAGATTTTTCCCATATGATGCCAACTTTATGAATGACACTGTATTTATAGCTGAGAACGGAATCGAAATTATAAATTATTGTCTAATTGATCACCAGCTGAAATAATTACGGAAACTCCACTTAGGAGGTGATAAATTCTACAGTAGAGTGAAGACATTAGGACAGGGTGACAGATGACCGACCTTGGAGGTAAAACATTGAAATATAACCTCACTTCTCTTATTTGTTTACAAAAGGATTGAAATAGTTTTTCACAATTATTTCAGCAATAGAATGGTGTTCTTCGGCTATTCAATAATTCTAGCATGCCATCACATTGTGCTGTTGTACAGTGCACAAAAAATGTAGCGAGACGCAGGAATCCAATTTTTCAGGTAGGTGAGATAGATACATAGTGATCTAAAAGTACTGTAGTCACTCACATTGATTTCATTCTGAAATTTTATCATTTCTCATCGGAATTTCTTCTGCATTAGCAGCTAATAGAAATACTTGTAAAGCTTCTGAAGGAAGGCAGGGAAGATTGGATTCGTGCAATCAAACGGGAGGACTGGTCTGACCTGCTGACGGAATATGATCGTGTGTGTTGTAGACATTTTCACTCTATCAGCAGTATAAGCTTCTATTGCAGAAGTGGCAGAAGGAATTCAAATGAGAAATCACAGAATTTCATAATTATAACTATGTGAGGTCACTATTTACCTGTAAAATCATACTCCTTCGTCTGTCCCAGAATTTTTTGTGCATTGTACAACAGAACAATGTGATGGTATGCTTGAATTAATGAATAGCCCAAAAAACACAATTCGTATCCAATAATATTGTGAATAACTATTTCAACCCTTTGATTCCTTTGTTAATGAGAAAAGTGAGGTTGTGTTTCGAAGTTTTACAGTCTGTGAGGTTGTGTCTCAATGTTTTACAGAAAAGTGAGGTTGTGTTCCAATGTTTCACCTCCAGGGTCGGTCATCGTGCACGCGACCTATTACTTTCTGAAGAAACAAAAATGAGCTCTGATGCGTTTTATTTTGAAAATACACGGTACTGGGAAGACTTACCGGAATCAATTTTATTATTCAGTGACGACCAAGCCCGTCGCCCCTCGCCGTAAGTTACATTACAAAAAATGTTAAAAACTTTCAAAAAGTTAGGATAGGAGAGTGAAAAACATTGTGTATCATTTTTCAAGTTTTTCTCACTGAACTTGTGCAAAAATAGTCGAAATAATGAATTACAAGTATTCATATTTCCAGAACTATTTTTTGTGGTATAAAATAAATCCATCAAACTTGTTCAAAGTTCAACGAAGAATCTAAAAATATAATAATATATATGGTGTCCCGTTCAAGAAAATGAACTGTTTGAGACACTCTGAGTAAATGAATCTCAAAGCATTAAAAAAATCGAATGAAACCCTACAACTTATGTAACTATTTTTTTTTTTTTTGAAATATGTAATATAAAGTTAATGGGGGGCGACGGACTTTTGGTCCTCACAGTATTTGCAAAATTTTTCAAAGTACAGGTGGACCAAATTGGACAATTGGACAAATTGGAAAGAATCCATTCAAAAAAGTTTCAGAGGTCGATATGAGGCTTTTATCATTGATTTTGTCATAAAAATTGACCCTTAGCCACCGACTGTTTGCGTTTATCTGGATGGCTTAGTAATAGGACTTTCCTTTGAAAAGTGTCCAATTTAACCCACCCTATACAACCATTTGAATATTTTTATGACTGTTTATCAAGCAGTTCAATTGAGCATTAGTTCACAGCACATAGACTTTTCAACTTATCTATCAACATTTCTGAAAAATTATATTATTAAATTCTTCACAGTGAGTCGTATTTTGGATAGCCCTAGCATGTACTAAATGAATCAATTTCGAGTGATAGCTGTAGAAATGATCAAACGTCAATGTGATGTGCGAACTTTATTATAATGTTTTCAAGGAGAAATCGTTTGACAATATGGAAATATAGTCTAGTGGTCTAGGACCATCGCTAAAAACTTCCAAAAAACTAAAATGGATTATAGTGAAACATTGGCAACCTCGGACTCAGCGTTGGAGGTAGTCGGCGAATTCACATTACCGCTGATCGTAGTCACGTGATTTCCAATACTCAGTGCTGCTACCTTGGCACGTTGATAGGCGCTCAGAGTATTTTGTCCCAAAAACCTGTTCAGAATAATATTGACGAAATTTTTGTCTAGTTCATGGACCTTCGGCCAATAACATGGCATGCAATTTCGATTTGAATCAATGACAATAGGCAAGAACACAAACGCGTGAATTCAATTTAGATGTGCATTCAACTGATGAGATATGCTGTAATACTTCGAAAAACACCATTTCAATATCCAACAATTTTATGCAACGTTTAAACGTAGTGTTTGGGAGACACTCATCTAGCTAATACTAATGTCAAAACCCCGTGTTGCCGGCTATTTTATTTCAAGGACATATTTCTCAATTTGCAAATCTATGCAACTGTAGACTGTCGAGATGATTAGATTGATGTGGTGAAGTCACCAATTTAGATTTACCTGTATCAGTTGAAGTTGGAGGGCCAAGAGCTGATGATTGTTAAAATATTTCAATTAGCCAATTAGCTTGAAGAATCAATTGAGAGAATTGTCAATTCTTCATAACTATCAATAGACGACGAAATTGAATGGATTTTATATTGTGGGAAAATAAAAAATACTTATAATGGGAAAAATGAAATAGGCAACGAAAGTTGTTCTTATTTCAATATTCTCCATATGATTCTATCGATTTCTATATAGATTTTCAATCAAAAATTTACGTTTCAGTTTGATTTCTTTGACACGTTGAATGCCACGTATGGCTGGAGTAGGAGGCTCTGAGAAACCAAGGCTAGGTTTGAGTAAATTATTATGTTTTTAAGCGTAATTTGAAAATACAGGGTGATCCACGGTGGATGGCCTATTAGAAGTATCTGGAGAACGAAAAGACAGAACATCCTGAAAATTGGGTTTCTTCGATAATTGAACATTCTCTATCCGTCTAAAATATTTTCATCGATACAGTGTTGCCACTTCTATCAGCAACAACTAGCAACTTTGTTATTTCAAATGGAATACCCTGAATTTTATTGCATTTTTAGATTCTTTCTGAAGAGCTGATTTCATCAATGCATCACACTTGGGATCTAGCAGGAATGATTACAGAGGGATAGGGTGTTCAATATCGAGATTTTTCAATTTTAGTATTTTTTTGTGTCGATACTATTCATTATCGATCAAAACGGCTCACATGTCCCTATCTTAACTTTTGATTGACTATCTACTGGAATTTGATTGGAAAAAATACAGGGTGCTTCAAGATTCAGAATTCTGATCACCCTGTATCTGTTCCAATTAAATGTCAGTAGATAGTGAATCGAAAGTTAAGATAGGGACATGTAAGCCGTTTTGATCAATAATGAATACTTTCGACACAAAAAAATCCTGAAATTGAAAAATCTCGATTTTGATCACCCTATATCTATGTAATCATTCCTGCTAGACCCCAAGTGTGATGCATTGATGAAATCAGCTTTTCAGGGAGAATCTAAAAATGCAATGAAATACAGGGTGCTCTAAAGAATTGTTCTAAAATTGTTCTATCCGTCATTCGGTTAAACGAAGTTGCTAGTTGTTTCTGATAGAAAAATATTTTAGACGGATAGAGAATGTTCAATTATCAAAGCATCCCAATTTTCAGAATGTTCTGTCTTTTCGTTCTCCAGATACTTCTAATAGGCCGTCCACCGTGGATCAGCCTGTATATGGTCTTGCTAATTCATGCTGACGTTTTCAAGGTCACCAGCAGCTGTCCAGTTTACTGCACAGCGGGCTATATTTGGGGTTTTAGCATGTATAGCCCGCTGTCCAGTAAACTGGACATACACATCTCATGAAAAAAAAACTGAACTAAGTGTGTTACTTATTTATTTCCTTTATTGAATGCGAAAAAGTAAAAATGAGATCAAATCTAGATATGAGAAACCTAAATGGACGATGCATTCCAATTTTTGAGGCAAGGATTGACACATGAACCAGTTTTTTTCGGGCGAACAGGGCAAAAATTACTAGTTTTCTTTTTTCCTTTCATCTCCGAGCATTGGCAACATCTTTTCATTTCGGATATTTTTTCTGTTGATTGATTCGGCTCCAAAAAATTGAATTTGCTTGTTCTTGTTGTTTCGGCTTGAGGAGTTTCAACACAAGTTTCTATTTGCTGATCCATAAGCTTTATAATTATTTCTTCACGAAAGTCCAAGAGTCTGACATTTTTATTCTGATGAAGATTATAAATGTAATAAGTATTCCAGATACACAAATCACACAAATGGAAATTAAATTTGCGGTACCACCTCAAGGTTTTTCTTGGAGTGAAATAATGAGTTTAAAAATATTCAAAGAACTATTGAAGAGAAAACTTCTCTCAAATGATATCAATTTGTAACTGTTTTCTATCACTGAGAATATTAGACCTACCTCGGCAATACGAAATCATTTTCATTTCCATTTCAATATAATCATTTTCATATAATAAGTAATTATATAATTAGTCTTTAAGTTAGTTGACGAAAGTAGAACCCAATCATAAGTTTATATATTTTATAGGTTGAGTGTAAGAGAGTGTACACCAGCTACATAATCAACCTGATGTTGATCAAAGGAATTTTCCCAGATAGGTTGAAGATTGCTGCAATCAGAGCCATTTATAAAAAAGGTGAAAAAACAAATTGGCAGAGCTATCGTCCGATAGCTCTCTTATCAAATATCAGCAAGATTTTTGAAAAAATAATATATACACGAATTGTGACTTTCGTCAAAAGTCACAAACTGATTACAGATTCTCAAAAAAAAGTCAAATCAACTATACTCGCTTTATATAATGCCCTCACTACGATAATGAACTCGCTGAACAATAAAAATGAAACTATGGCAGTATGTATAGATCTCTCCAAGGCCTTCGATAAGGTCGACCACACTATACTTCTAAAAAAACCCGAATATATTGGAATAAGAGGGGTTTCCTTGAAACTGATACACTCTTACATGACAAATAGATTCCAATATCTAACAGAAAGAGATGAAGAAGGTAAACAAATCAAATCTGACAAGAAAAAAATCAAAGTTGTTGTTCCACAAGGCTCTATACTTGGGCCACTATTGTTTATTTTATATATCAATAATTTGCCTCATATAGTTTTGATCAAAAAATTGTTTGTTGTTTTGGGTTTTCCTCTTATTTTATCTTCTTCTATATCCTTTCATCTATTATCCATAATCTCTATGATTTATTTATATCATCGACATGTTCTACACCCGTTTGAGTATTATGCATTGTACACATAAACGCATAAAGGATATCTATCTATATATCTATCTGTGTTAGCAGGCAAAGCGCTAACTCTGCTTTTTGTCAGTGGATTATCTAATTCAAATTGCATGTACCGAGTTAACTAGACTGGCAATAAAATCTTCTATTATTATTATTATTACTATAACGACTACTAATAATGTAAATCCCACTGACCTGACGCAAACGTAGATGATGATGAGAGCGACGCTGGCGCTAGCCATCCGCACGTACGAGTTGTCGTACAGCTGGATGACGATCCAGGCGCCAGCCACCGTCACGCACATGCACGTCACCACGAAGGCGGTGCTGCCCCAATGGTGGGCCGTGAAGCCCTTGTCCCACTTCACCTCGCCGCTCCTGCATATGTCGTACTCGTACTGGCACACCTTGCACCGGAGCGGCTCGTTGCTGGCCGACGCGCTCTCCATCAGCCATCTGGAAGCGACCAGATGATTAATAATAATAATAATAGTTTATTGCTTCTTAAACAAGTTTATAGCAACGAGTGTATGAGAGAAAAAAATGAGGATAATATTATGTATGTATGTACTCTGGAAATGAATAAAAAAAACGATTGAACATTAAAACCTACCAAGTACAAGGATAAATATCAATAGTTATAGAAGAAGAAAATAATACAAGTATAGTTTATTCATTCAGAATAAATGATCTCAGTTTAAGGATATTCCAAATAAATTCAGAAATTATTCTAGCATCACTGATTGTTATTTTTTGTAAGGCAATAATAATTAATGTTTCAAAATTCCTTAGACATGGAGCTCTTTGTTTCATAACAGTGTGAATCGGACAGTCAAAAATAATATGGAGGAGAGTTTCATCTTCGTTTCTGTTGCAAACTGAACAAAGATCAAGGTCAATGGAGTAGGCAATTCCGTTTAGGGTGAATTTAATTTTGCAGTGATTGGCCATACGTAGTTGGGCAAGAGTGCGGGTGATTTGGATGGGTAATTTCAATAGTAAATAAGTGCTTGGTACCTTGGAAGTTCCAAGCAGATTGTGAATATACATAAAAGGGTAACGGGAATATATTGAACGATCTGAGTCATGTAAGAATGTATTATGTTTGAATAAATTATTATAATTCAGATCATTCCATAATAGCAAGGAGTCAGAATCAACAAAAAAAATTTTCATTTGCAAAAGCCAATCATATTTAGGGTCCGCGTAATTTATAAACAAAACAAGCCTTGGGTATTGATGTTTTTCCATCGACAGTATTTTGCAAATATAGTTCACGGATATTTTAATCACATTATAAGTAAGTTTCACCCTCCCAGTTTCTGAGCGAACAATGGCATCGGGTGTATTGGTAGAAACTAAAAGAATTCTTTTAAGAAAGGATATTTGAACTCTCTCAAGCACTTCAAGATAAATGAGACCCCAAACTGGCACACAGTTATACATAACACTTAAAGTTAATGATTCGAATATATTTAACCTTGGTGGCCAGGTATCAATTTTAGCCTTAGACAAGATAGGCAAAATAGAACCAATAGCTTGTTTGCCTTTGGTGTTGGTCAAGTGGACATTTCATGAAAGAGACCAGATGATGTGAAAGTTACTCCTAAATAATTATATTTATTGGTGACTTCTACTACATGACTGGCAAAGTGAAATTTGAAGTTTGGTTTTTGAAACCCACCTCTAGAAAATTACATTATTTTAGTTTTCTTGAGGTTGACAGTTGAGTCGTTTTCTGTAGTGTATTTTTCCAGAATTTTGAGTTTCCTCACAACATCAATTTCAGAATGGGCCAAGATAACGAGATCATCAGCATACATCAATGTTAAAACGTCATTCTTATCATCTATGTTGTTAACAACATAAGCTGAGAGCGGCACATGAAAAACTTATTTCAACGGCATCATTTCACCTGATTTTTCCAATTTCGAAACCGGTTCAAAAATAAGTGAGCTAGAGGGGGGACATTTATAATGAATCACCCTGTACCTAGAACTTTTGTTTTGTCGTTTTTGTATATGCCCTACTGACTAACCTTCTGAGACACTCGTGGTGCACGCTGGACACGTCCCCAGTGCAGTCGCACGGCTGGATCAGCTGCTCCTTCTTGTCCCCGTCGTAGCATATCCAGCACTCCCGCTTGTCCAGGAACGCCTCGTCGTCGCTATCTACCTTGACGCCCCCCTCCGCCGCTTCGCCGCTCCTCGGCCGCTCGAGCTGGGACAGGAGCTTGCTGGGATTGAGGATCCACAGCTCGGAGGGCTGCATGCAGTTCCAGAGGACCGCAGGGAACCATACGGCCACGCCGATCTCCACCACACGGAATATGATGTTGTGGAGGTTGCGAGAGTTGATGGGCACCTGAGATAGAGGAATTCGCAAACTAAATAACGATGGATAGACACCGTGATTCATTCATGAATCATTGAAAAATATACGCCAACAATCCTGAACGCAAAACACGGATAAATGAATGAAATCATGAATGGTGGAGATAACTCTGCGGAATCATTGCCAGAGAATGGGCTTATATCACAAAAAAAAATTATTTCATAATTCGATAGAACTCATCCAAACTAGCTCACCACCGCAAACCGTTTCTTGCTGTGAGCTCCCTACGTTCCATAAAAAATTATTGAAATCCCCGATTTTTCGGACCTCTGAAAACGAGGCGTTGATGTGACGTCAAAACCCTAATACTGAAACAAGACTATTCCAGACAGAGATGAATGATACAAGATTTCTGACAGAGTGAATTAGCGCGGGATCACAGTTGAAAGAATTAATATATCAGTTGCCTCAGTCTCCGTCGGGCGTTTGGTGTTTTGTTTTAACTATGGCGAGATGAGGTTTCTACGTCATAAGAGAGTCCGTTTTCAGTAGGTACTATTATTTATGTCCAAAAATAAAACATTCCAGTTAATTTTTTGATCGAATTATGTCGTCAATCATTATTTATGTATAAAAGGAGCATTAAAAACATGGTTCTACTAAGGTGTACACGCCCATTGATATTCTTTCATTTCATATATAGGCCGATCGAGCGGGGACAAGAGCTTGCTGGGATTGAGAATCCACAGCTGCATGCAGTTCCAGAGGACCGCAGGGAACCATACGTTTGTTACCTATTGTAAAAGCTGGTGCTCGAGGGGAAGGGGTAGCATTGATCAGTTGGAGTGCTCCAAGCTCTTTGTGATGGGAACGCTGTTGATCAGTTCAAGATCTGCTCGGAGTTACTCGGTGCTACTCGCTGTGGCAATTGGAAAGCGGCTATAAATGAATGAAATCATGAATGGTGGGGATAACTTTGCGGAATCATTGGAAGAGAATTTATATTACTCAAAGATATATTTTATATATTCAATAAACCAGGATTTCTCCTCGTCTGGTCGAGCTGGGAGAGTAGCATGCTGGCATTGGAGATCCACAGCTCGGAGGGACCAGGGGGTTTATTCTTGAGCGTTATTCGTATACGAATTCGATCTTTTATTTCACTTCAACATACGTCACATACGTGAGTCCATCTATATGTATTCGTATAAGGATTGAATTAGAACGGTTCGAGAGTAGACCCCTTGAGATGAAGGAATTCTCAGACTAAATAAGGATAGACACCGCGAGTCCTTCATGAATAATTAAAAAGTATACGCCAACAAACCAAGACGCCAAACACGGATGATAAAATGAAATCGTGAATGGTAAGGATAACTCTGCGGAATAATTGCCAGGGAATTGATATTCTTTATAGATATATTTTATATATTTGATAAATCGAGATTTCTCCTCGTCTGGTCGAGCTGAGAGATTGGCATGCTGGAATTGAGGATCTTCAGCTCGGAAGGCTGCAAGCAGTTCCAGAGGACGGCCACGGATGACGATGTTGAGGAAGTTGCGAGAGTTGATGGGGATCTGAGATGGACGAATTCTCAGGCTATATAGCACTGGGACGAATTTTAAAATTTTCAAGATGTGGTGAGCTAGTTTCACAAGATATCTCTGTTAAATCATCGAATGAGCTGAATTTCTTATCTTTGGTCAGATTTTTTGTTTAATTCGAGCTAGTTCTCAGTCTTGGGATAAAATTTGTAAGTTGTAACCACCTACTCAATATCATATCATAGGAAAGAATGAGAGGGTATTTTTTCAATCGATCGTCAATAATACTCACTTTACCTCCAGAAATAAGAAAACAAAAAAACTATGGTCCTCAATCGAGCAAACATTCAAGAAATCATTTATTTCTGAATGTTTAACAATAATTAAGGCCTTTTGGGCCAGTTCAACACTAGTTTTTATATTGAGGTAATAAGATTTTTTCATGTTTGTAGAAAAAATGTTATTGTTGTTGCAACTCGTGCGCGAAATACTTTGGTCATCTCGACAAAAATCAGTTCTCGATCACCAAAGAAGCATTTCGCGCACTAGATACAAAAATAACTATTGATAACAAATTTGATGAACGACCATTTGAGAAACACATAATCAATCTAAGCAAAACAAAAAATTCCTGGTGTTATGCTATGAGGATAGTTTCCAATGATGTATTTTACAATTACAATAAATGTATTGTATTGTGACATTTACACGTTTCTTGGAAACATATTCCAACAACTTCTTCAAAAGTATTTTCATAGTGCTGAAAAGCGCCGTAAGATATCTTTGTAAAGTACAACCTCCAGATATTTTCAGTCCCCTCTTTCCAAATCTCAAGACCATCTGTTCTAAGATGAAATGCTATTCTACTGCACCACACTCCTGTCTATGATTTGTCATAGTAATGACCTACACAAATTCATACTTGTAGGATTTGTGAATAAAAAGATAATAATTTGTATTGACACTGCCGTTACTTGATTGAAATCCAAAGCTAGAGTTAAAAACTTCAAAAACGATGAGATTTCCATAAAAGATGATATTCTTTGTTTACCTTTGTTTTCCAAAATTCCGATAAAGTTTCAGAAAACAGGAATCCAGAGATGATGATGAGCATCAGAGCTTGGCTCAACAAACCAATACGTGACTGGTGAAGTTGAGACAGGTTGATCCTATTCCTGAGGTCTGGCTCATCTCGAAGAGGTTGTGTTTCTAAATTGTTGCTGGCTAGTTGAAGTGGTTTGGTGATGAAACCTCCTCGAACCTAAACAACACAGTAACTAGTAAATCATTAAATTCTCAGCAAACAACTGTTTCGTCTGATACCAGGTACCATTATCAACTGTTTTTTTTTTCAGATCAAAAAATAATTACCTTGAAGTACACTTCAACTCCATAGATTAGAAAGAAAACAACAATGATGAACATCAAAACTGCATAGCATCCATTGAATAAGTGATGATAGAAACGAGGATCATCTGGTGGCGGTTTGGCAAGTTGAGTGGTTATGGTTTCAGCGATGAGGAGGCTGAAGCTGATCACATTGAATGTGATGAATGCGAGGAAAGATTTAGACAGGAACTGAGGTTTATCCCAGCGAATGCCTGGCAAGTGGAACACCTGGAATGAATATCCAAATTCCATAGATATAATATCAAAATCAAATAGTAACTACTAAGAACGTTTAACACCGTTGAATAGAAGTTAGATTTTTCGACGAGTATGGGCATTTGCATATTTTGAAGCTTTTCTTATTCCGAAATGAACAGGATGATATTACAGATGATTCCTCAGTCAAAAATAATGGAATTATAAAATCTTTTCATTAGATTTAAATTTCGAGATGAACGATATTCGGGTCTAAATAAATTCATTTTGTCACTGATACAGAGAAAATTTGAACTCTCACAAGTATGGTAATCTTGAAAGCTCAAAATTGCTCAGTCCCCCACTGACACCTTGTAATCGGCACCTATGCTCATTGGGGCAAGCACTAACTTGCGTATTCTTCAGACCTATGGCGAAATATTTTTTCATTAGCTTTTCTAGGTATTCGGCGGAAAAGCAGTAACTTGACTTTTAGACAAAGTCAAATGGATAGAAAGTTAGGTTCATTTCACGAAGAAGCTACATATTTTGATACATTTCTGGTTAAAAAAATTAAGCAAAATTGAAGATGCTTTTTCATATATATGCATGGAGACGATGAATTTTAAAACAAAGAAAAAGTGTGTAGAGATGTAAAAATGTCGATTCATATTTCAATTTCTTGGCTTCAGCACAGCTTGATGAAAGACTAATATCGAACATGATTTCAATTCTGAAAAATCTAGGAATGCCTTGGAAATTACAAAAAAAAAACACCTCTGAAGTGCTTTCTATGTAGCAGGAGTCGTAGAATCAACATCTAACTGATACAGATATCGAAAAGTGAGGATACAGAATACGGACCTAGTTTTTGGTTCCAAGCAACTTTTCTGAATTACTTCACTGTTGACGTATCTATTAATAAAAATCTACTATCTTCAAGACAATTTCGAAAAGCTTAATAATCATAACAATCTGATGTATGAATTTCGTCCTATTGATAATCACTGTGGACCGAGGACATCGAATGAGATCAATGTTAAAACACGTTTCTCATTGGGGTGAATAACTATTCTGATAAAGTTATTGTAAAAAACGTGAAAAATTGAATCCTATCAAATAATTTTCAAACCAGGATAAAAGTTTGGTAATGAATAATGAATTGGAGAATTGAGGAATGTATTGAAATCTGGTCAGTGACGTACAGTCGCATTTAAAAAAAAGCGTACAAGTATATTACAGAGAGAAATTAACGTCATCCTATTCTGCATAAGACGGGCTATCGGGAATGATTGTTCACCAAATGTTGACAGTAAAGTTGTCATAGGTTCTCGAAAACACAAAGCATTGGCTGAGCCAGTTTTACACAACTAGAACTAGGATCCCGAAATCCTCTCTTTTTAATACTTGTACGCTTTATTATTGAATACGACTGTACCTACTCAAAAACAAACTCAAAAACAAACTTCTTCCTGTCGATAGTGTATATCAAGTATACCTACAAAATCTATCAAGGATATTGAAATAACTGAGATTTTCGTAGAAAATGAAAACTTCAATCATAGTTAGTAACGAACCGTTCTGTTGATTACTTGAAATTTAGTCACTAAATTTTGATCACCCTTTATATAATGAATCAATGATAAGAACTCAATTATAATTTTTAATTTAGCAGCAGTATCATCCCAACATTACTCTATAATTCAATTTATTCGTTTTTCTGAAGATTCAAGATCACGAGTAGGTATAATGAAAACTTTTATAATTATGATACAACCGATAAATGCAAATATTTACCTATTATCTAGATAATTTTCTTCGATGCATTCTTGCATAATTTACGAGGTAGTCTAGTTACCTGGGGAAATCCAATTGGGAAAAGGATAGATGTGCATTTCTCAAGATTTAGTACCTACATTGGAAAAATATAAAACCAACTTATTGTATTCAACCGAACTAACTTATAACCTAAAATAATAGAATAATGAGTTGGTAAAATGCATATAGAGAATACTGTTTTTGCGACAATAAAAAAGAACGCAATTCTTATTGATTTTATAGTGTTTACGTCTTTCATTTTCATTATCACCATTTCGTGAAATTCCTCAAAGCTAGGGTAATAAAAAATGAAAACGAATAATGATAATATTCCTGATACGGTTTCTATCACTGAATCTAATACTTTCAAAACTTAACTAATTCTTACTTGATCTGATGAAGAAAGTCTGAAAAACTGATATCAATATTATTTGCTGGTGAGAACTTCACACCTAACCCATTAGTCAATATTATGAACAGTGATTAAATAATGATTCAACAATGGGAACTATGATACGAATTTTATTGCCTATGCACTGACTATTACCTTGATTCACATTATGGTAGTATTGACAATTATCTCTCTTTTGGGCATCACTTATTACTGAAAAATGCTAATGCTAGGAAAAAGGTAAAGTGGAGGTCATTGTGTTCTGAAATAAATAATCAATTTCCTCAAAGAAATTAATGAGATACATATTTTTTCCACCTCTTGCTATAGAATCTATCATTATGTACTCCGTGGCGGATTGAGGTAGCTGCACTGCAGGCCCTAGGCGCAAGACAAATCTGGGGCCCCTTCCATAAAAATGTGTGAGGGGTATATGTGTTACCGTGAAAGTCCGAAAGTCGGTGATTGTCAGGAACCACTACCAGTGAATGTCAACATTCACCAAGTTACTTGGCGTATGTCCGATATATTCATCAAATATCATTATTTCTAACTTCCACCGGCGAATGTCAACATTCATCATATACTCATGGTGTATGTTCGGAAGATTTTTTTTTAAGAAAACGAAATGAAAATCTATAGGTTATTATTTGTTTTGATTAAGTCATGGAAGGAGTTTGCAAATGAACATGAAGAAGTTGTTGAACTTAAGACAAACACAACAAACGTAATATTAATATAAAAAAAATGCATTTTATTTCTTAAACTAAAATATAAAAAACGAAGTAAATGTATGGCAACCTTATTTATTGCAACAACTTAAGCTACCATGACACTTAGAATTACACAAAAGGCTCTTGTTTTTACAGCTACATTTAGACGTGGAACACTTATTTTTGCAGTTACAGCGTGAATAGCCTTGCCCTCCGCTTTTCGAATTAGCAGAAGCTGCTTCTCTCACCGAAATTTCTTGAGCTGAAATCTCATCCATGGTAATGAACTTTTCTTTGCAAATTGCAAATTGATTACGGGTGAAAAGCTGCTTCAAGGTGCCATTTTTGTTTGCTAATTTATAAAAGTCTGAATCCTCTATTCCAACAACAATGGCTAACACATTTCGGGGATCTGTACGACCACGGTCGACGTCAGGTATCACCAATTTGGGCTGCAGGAAACTTTTGTTTTGAAGTTCGCAACATTTTTGTTGTTTGGCGTAGTAGATTCTCTTTTGCAGCAATTCTTTTTGAATTAATAAGCTCGTGCTGCCTAGTCAACACTTGGGATGAAGGCGTAATCGGTTGTAGATCAGTCTGTGTTTGAGTTGGAGGCGTGCTGGGCTGTAGATCAGTCGGCATTTAGATTCTATTACCTACTGCCATATTCGCGGGAATCAATGTTACCAGGTGGCGTTCGGTTTTCATCGTTCCATGTCAAAGCCACGTCAAAACTGGGGACTCAATCCTCACTCAATCCCATTAGCTTGTGTACTGTGTACTGATAAGAGTGATAACACAATATGGCATCGACAAGTTTGACAATTACAGCTACAGCAAGATGTATGCAATGTAGTCTATGCACTTTATCCATTGACAACAGTTTGTTTTCCCCCAGTTTGAAGTTCGTATTATGTAACCTAGATGTCGCCCACTTCGTGAATCTCGCGAATAGTACATCAAAAAAGTTTGGACAAACAGTCTGAATTATAATTCTTGACAGTTATGTCATCCGCTGTTGACGGCGATTATGCGTTCATGACATACCTATACTGGTGAAATGAGGGTGAAATAAACGAAAATTGTGCGATGTGCTTACTGTACATAAAGAGCTACTTACTGAGGCTGTATCTCGTGTGTTCCTGCCTACTTACTATATTTTCCGTGGGTAAAAAAATCATAATAACAATGATAATAACAAACAGGCTACTATATAAGAAACAAAATAGTAAGCAACATGGAAATATACACAAAAATATAAATAAATAATATACAGAATACATCAATCTTGTTTATTTTTCATATTTTTCTTATATTTGATAAAATAGTCAAAGGAATACAATCCTTGAACACTGAGAAATTCTCTTGACCTCATATCTCAGAAGTGCAATTTGGTGGACAATAAAATAATTTTATTCACGACTAATATATTATACTTGTGGTTTTTGAAGTATAATGCCATATATTAATCCCGCAGGGAATAAAGACTATTAATCCCTCGCCATTATTCCCTGCGGGATTAATATATGGCATTATACTTCAGAAACCACAAGTTTATATATTAGTCGCAAATAAAGTAGAGTATACTACTCGCAATAATGGCTATTATTCTCTCGGAATGTTACTCCCTCGCCGCTAACGCGGCTCGGTTCGTAAAAAATCCTCGAGAATAATAGCTATCATTATTGACTCGTGGTATAATCTACTATTAGCCCTCATTGGACTGAGGGATGACTATTAATCCCTTGTCATTATTCCTGTCAAGTTTAATGTCAATTATATATTATATTAAGATTATACAGGGTGTTTCCCTACTACCGTATGAAACTTCAGAGGAAAAGTAGTTCCTATGGACGTAGGTCCGAGGTTTCTGAGATACAGGGCGTTGAAGTTTAAAAAAGTGAATGTTAGTCCATGTTCATGATATGCAGTATTAGCAGTTGCCAAGGTCATTAGATGACATTGTGATGACATTCAAAACTATGGAAAAATGTCCTAACTGGTTTAATTTTTACTTCAATTCACTTCAATTATTGAAAAAGAGTGGTTCTGAAGATTTAAATAATGAATAATTTTATGAAATATAAAATGGAATGGAATGAAATAGATATATGGCATAAATTCAACTAGTGCTAGAACTCCATTTCATCAGTTATTATGTTATTCTAATATCTTAGAAGGGATAGAGGCAACTGCTCTGAACATACCTGCAATGAAGTCATGATGAATGGTGGTGATGCAGGGGTGGGGAGTAATTGAAAATATTCACAGCTAGTATAGAGAGAGAGAGAGGGAGAATCTTTATTAGGGATATACTCCAAACAGCCATTGACCAAAGTATTTCAGCTCAGCTGGTATATAAATGAACAAACATGTCAAAAACAATATGAAACAAAATATCACAAAATGAAAATAAATAAATGAATAAATAAATGGTCTATATAAACATACATAGTGATACAAAATGAAGTATCAAATAAAAAAATCGCCAGGCAAATAGCAGTATTTTTTAGTTAAATATTGTTTCAATCTATTTCTGAGAATATTCACATTAAGTTTTTGAGAGTTATTATGACTCACCCCATATTGATGATTGATGTGAATAAGTGAAAATTACTCACCTCTGCCCAGAAACACACAATGAGTGATGCACTTGACATGAGTAGTGGATAGTAGGATGATAACAGACTACTTGACCAACCATATTCAAAAGATTCCTGAAAAAAAAAAAGGTAAATTAAATATTATAAAAATAAAATCGAACAATAAATTACTTCTTCTCTGATTAGTTTTAGTTTTCACTAACAAGATCTATAATGTTCTTCAGGATGTAAGTAGGTATAATATGTGTAATTTCCCTGGTATTATAATTTCTCAGATATTATAATTTTTCTTGAATTTTGAGAACTGCCAAGGTAACAAATATCTACTGGATATTTTGAACAAGATATCTTTTGATAGTTTATGTGAAGTTCATAATTAAAATTTAAAATCCCAGCTACAGTTCAAAAATTTCATATTCATCAAAATGTATTACAATTTGGTGTGTTTCTTCTCTAGAACTTCAGGTTGATGAATATGTTACAGACATATTATGCAGACATCAGAAGCAAAGGGAAAAAAAATTGAATTTTATGCTAACCTAGAGAACAAGAGAAATGAAAAATGGCTTAAATTCATTACAACTTGGTATGTACCTTATTCAAAACTTTCTTTACATTGAAAATTGTGCTTGAAGATACAAGAACTACAGTAGCATTGAACAACCCAATTTCTAAAGCAATAAAAGAATGGGATGGAAATAAAAAATAGAGAGTTATTCATTATTAAAAGCAAAACTAAATAAATATTACAATTGGCAAAGGCAAACCCTTCATTATAAACCCTTGTTCTGTAAACATCAATTTAGGGGATTTGGAACTGATTTAGAATTACTATTGATAAAAAAAAATGAAATAATTTATTGTGTGCTACTCATCATGATAGTTAATTGTATATTGTATTGTATTATATGGTACATTGTATATTCTATGTTATTTAATAATAAAATTATTTGTAAGCTAATCATTATTTATTTTTCAGTTCTTCTGAGAATGGCATTTTAGGTAGTTGCTGAAATAAGTATGATAGTTTTTCCAAAGACTTATCTGGTATTTCTAGTATATTTTGTATTTGATTATTCAACCACAGTCCTCAGAACTTCATTTCAATAAAGTTATTGAGAAGAGAAATCATTTTGTAATGAATCTCAATTAATATCAATGTTTTATTTCACCATGATATGAGGATTTGATTCATGAAGGTTTTTTTTTTCTGTGACCTAATATGTATTTTTCATTTAAGAAAGTGAAGATGTACTCACAGGAAATATGAAGTATGCTCCACGAATCAAGCTGGCAATGCAGATTACAAAGTAGATCAACTTCTGTGTGGTTACTTTACATGCTCTAAGAAGACTAGGAGCCTTCAACCTCACATATTCCGATATTATGCAAGTAATGAGTTGAATTGCACAAACTATGCTTATAAAGAAGAATACACCACCAATTCCTGTATGGTATGGCAAGTTTGGTCCATCACACAATTCCCCAGTGAAACGTATGTCACATAAACATGTGCCATTGTAGCATTCACCACGTCCTGAGCAGTCCCTACTGCAACTAGAGCTCAATCCTGACATGATTAGAAGATGTCGAATCATAATCAAATGTTAAAGACCTGAAAGAGGAACCATTGAAAATGATAACAAAGGATGACCTGCCAATTTGATAATAATAACCTTTGTAGGCCTTCAGAGATGTAAGCTTGGAGATCTCAGCAGTAAATTTGAATAGGAGTATTTGCTGAAAATATTCGTGATTCTAGTATCCAGTTAGTAAAAACTGAAATGAACAAGAATTCAGACATTACAACACAACATAATGGCACTTCTATTTTCTATTTATTTTTATTTTTTCCAAGACAATCAATGAATCAAAGTCCCAAGATGACTTTGACAGTTGAATTAGGAAAGAAGTGCCTAAACAATGACGGCTACAGATCTAGACTGTCTGACAGTCCTTAGCCGTCATTGGCCTAAATCTTTCGAACCATTCATATTCAAAAGTGTCACTGTCCTGACGCTACCTATATTAATTAATTTAATGATCCAAGATTTTTTAAATTTTTCACCTGTGTTCTGTGTTTGGACTTTCACTGATACACTGACAGGAAAGTGACAAACAATACATGTCGTTTGCCATAAATGTCATAGTTGTCATCCGTTAATGGAGTTTGCTATTTTATAAGCGTCTTTAGCCTAGTTGATTGAAGAAATGTGTAAAATTTTATAAAATTCCCAGATTTATGACATTTTGGTGAGCTGGTGTTGTAATGAGTTGGTATTCAATCCTGTGTATGCAATTTCAAGCATATTTTTCAACGTTCTAGACTGATCTACCCCAAGTGAGATATCGGTAGTATATTGGCGGTTTTCTGATCTCAGGTAAATTTTCTGCTTCAATATTATCTTCCTTTTAAATGAAGACATATGCTGCATGCATAATGAAAATAATAATTATATAAACTTGAAGAAAATATTGACTTTAGTATTTCTCTTTACCCAAAACCAATTGATGATAAGAGGAATGGGGAGGGTACATTATATGTAATCTGTTGCTTACAGGTATGTTTTCCATCAGATCCTTGAGTGCGCTAAAGTTAACAAAAAAACTGTTCTTGCAATGTGACTTAGATATAAATTTTAGGTGTATTATGGGTACAACTTGAAAGTACATTTATGCAGTTTCTCACTCATGGTGAATTCATACAGTTCTCTCCTACCATATGAATAATGAGCGATAATGGTTTAATTTCAAATTTGAACTCCAAATTGATCAATCACCTCTGAATTCATCAATCACCCTCTGATTCTTCTTAAGTTGGGACTGAGCTGAGTTGTGCATGAATCCACCATCAATTCTACTAGGTACCTAATTATGATGAAGTACCTTGTACTTGTAATTGATAATAGTCTTCCTTTCACCACTGTTCAACTTCCCAATTATTTAGTTGTTTTATAAAAATTGATAATATTCAGTAAGTAGTACTTGGTTCTCCTGTAATACTAAATGAACTGAAACAATCTAACTAACTACTGATAAATTAGTTATCATGGCTGAAAGGTTGAAAATTTTTGCAAAAAAATTTTAATCCTCCCAAGCTGCCCTTGTTATTACAGTAATAATTTGATAGTACCTAATGTTCCTGCTGAGGTTACTTCAACCACAGGACCTAAATTATTTTGTTTTTCTTGTACCTATCTTTGTTTTGTAAGTTGAATTCCTCAGAAAACAATTCAACAAAACTTACAGAAGTTGCAATGCACCTTTCAAGTAAGTATGTCATGGAGTATTCTTTTATCTGAACATTACTGGAAAATCATTCAGCTAGAGATTATGATCTATGATCATGAATTCATTGATAGCAAGTTTTTTGGAAGTACATCAGATAAATATGAAGAGTGATAGAGCAAAGTCTCAAATCAGATGATTTTTCTTTTCATTTGGCACCTCAAGATACTAAAGCTTTTGGAACTAGGTGTTGATGACAAAATATCAGGAGAAAAAAATTGCTGATTTTTTTTTTTTTCAGAACATAATAATTACATTTCAGTGTGGAACCAGCCACAAAAACCTCCAAAATATGTCTCTGGATGAAACTATTTTCCACCAATGTATTCCTCTATGGGTCCTCAATCTGTATATCTCTCAATATTTTGTCGGGCAAGAATTAACCCCAGGAGCCCCCTTTTTTGGAATTTCCAAAAAAAAAAATCATAAATTTTTCAAAATACACTTGGATGGGAGTTTTTTTTCTATGAATTTGTTCCTCTGATGGTAATTGATGATGTATATATCTCACAATAATTTGTCCCGCAAAAATTAACCCCACAAGCCCCCTTTTTTGAAGTTTAAAAAAAATCGTAACTTTTTCAAAATACATGTGGATGAGAGTTTTTTTTTCTAGGAATGTATTTCTTTGATGGTACTTGATAATGTGTATATCTGACAATAATTTGTCGGGCAAGAATTAACCCCGCCAGCCCCTTTTTTTGGAATTTCCAAAAAAATCATAACTTTTTTAAAATACATGTGGATGGGAGTTTTTTTCTATGAATGTGTTCCTCTAATGGTACTTGATAATGTGTATATCTCACAATATTTTGTGGGGCAAGAATTATCCCCACAGGACCTCTTTTTTGGAATTTCGAAAATAAATCATAACTTTCAAAATACACAAGGATGGGAGTCTTTCTGACGTCACCATTTATCCCACGTATCGCCAAATGGCGGGCATGAAGGTTCGTTTGGATTGAGCTCTTAAATTTAACAATTTTGAACAACATGGATTCATTATTTTCATAAAAAAGCGTGAATAGTGTTGCAAAAATGAATTTAGGTTCCTAACAACACAGTAGAGTAAGTGAATGCCAATAATTCATCATCAGTCCTGCTCATTCTAAAAGCTCATATTATCTCAATAGAATTATTTCATTTTTATCAAACCTGATACCAATTCCATTCAATATGAAGACCTGAAATGGGATAATCAGTGGTGGATTAAGACGTTTTGCAGCCTGAGTCGCAATTAATTTCAGCGCCCCCTTCTTGACGGAGACAAAGGACAATTTCAGGGGCGTTGGTTATTGAAAGCGCCGCAGGCGAAATCTTCTTGAAGGTCAAGGTCAAATGCGTTCAAATTGAAAATTAGATTTATTCCAGAGTGACAGCATTAACTCAATTTCAATGATACCAGGAATAAGGAGGTCAAGACACTCAGGCTGAAATTTTGTTCGGTAAAAATGCGCCGCAGGCGAGGATTTTGTTGGGATTCAAGGTCAAATGCCTACAAATTGGAAATTAGATTCCTTCAAGACTGACAGCAACTTCATCACATTATTGCATTATTAATAATTCAGTTACATGTTCTCTGTTTGTTAAAATTGATACCTATATAAAGTGATCAAATAGGAACAATAGAAAAAGCAAGTAAAATGTATTTTAGATAGTGTCTATAGGTTACCCCAAGAAGGTAGATGTTCCCAAAATGTGTTGGGAGCAAGGAATACTGACTCATTTGTTCAATTTACCAAAATAATTCAGAGCTGATTCACTCCAATTTTTTTGTTGTCAACAACCACCACTCATAACAGGAAACAGGTTATTCATCAGTCTATCATAATTTTTACATTTTCGAAAAATGGCTTATATCCAGGTATATTTTATGTATTTTTGAATAATATAAGTGATTTTTTGCAATTTCAAGTAAGTACTGATACAATACTGATATATAATGTGGTTACAAGAAGAATGTGAGTGGAATAATATTTTTGTAGAAGGTCGGGGGGGGGGGGGGGGGGGGCGAGGGGGGAATTGCTATCTTGAAATTGAACTGAAGAATTGCGCTTGGTTTGGCGCCCCCTCGCCACGAGAAATACGAGGCGTGCGCCTCCCCTATAATCCGCCACTGGGCGTAATCAAAATAATAGTATAGAGTAATAATATGTCATAACCCATACTGCTTCCACACTGCGGAAGCAGTGTTCATTGTAATAGCAAAACAAGTTGATAACTGCTTTTTATGATATTCAAATAACCTAATCCTTGTTTTCTACAACTGCATTGTGATATGACTCCAGAATAATAATTATTAGATTAATTAGGCCATCGATATTTTATACTTCTTGAAGCCAAAGAAAGGAAGCACCGTTCGAAAAAAAGATCCCAATGTGTACAACAAGAAACTGATAGAGCTCAGAATACTGTTCCTTCAAGCTTTCAGCAGTTACCAAACCACTTTCGCACTTTTCATGCATTCTCTGAGAGAAAACAAGAACATTTGTGTAGCAAGAAAAATCATTTCGTAAATGCTATTTATTGTGATATAAAATCTAAGAAAAAATATATGTATGCAATATGAATTCACCATATTTCATCAGAGTCAAACCTATAATAACAACCCTTAACCCCATCTGACGAACCAGAATTCAAAACTCCTTGAATTATTTCAAAGCCAAGCTCGTGTTATGAACCTCATCCCTGGGCTAAAAATATTCAATTTGATTGTTTAAATTTTTTTTAATGAGAAAACTGTTGTAGTAATCAATTTGATTATTTTATTGGGTCAAATCCTAAATGCAAACTATAGTTCTTGATCAAGCTAACCTCTCCTTGAAGGAAGTTAATAAAAACTTAATTTTGATGATATTTCAAATCTGCAAAAAAACAATTTCAAACTTGAATTACAATGATTTATTCACTTGTACTGGTAAACAATATTACTATCTACATGTCAACTATAAACAGCAAAAATACTTTCCAGATGAAAATTGAAATTGTTGTGCATCTTTTCTTCAACGGGAAATAAATTGATGACATGTTGTGGACATCCATTATCATTTCTTCGACTCTACTTTTCTTCTTTGTTCATGTATATCAGTAAAATGATGAACAAGGTATCTATAGCAAATCGTAATAATATGACAGTTGCCATTGAAATATTTTTTCCATTTTCTTGTCCTGCTATGAACTATGGGAGTAATGATTATTCAGTAATGATTGTCAGATTGGAAATACATGTTATATTTGGAAAAGAGTTCGACCACCACTATGATATCACAATTATTTAGAGAAACCCTGTATTTTATGTTGAAATCATTTCAAACTGGACAATTTGTACGTACTTTAGGAACATGACGTATGTGTCAAATTGACATTCGAATACGTCAAATTGACAGCAGAGCAACTTATTAGGATCCTTTCAGTGGCATCAAATTATTATGGTATCATATTCTTGACGCTAAAAACAATCTGAGAGAAATTTGTAAATAGGCCAGGGAAGGAGCCCTAAAATAACTTCAAACTATCATAAAATCAGCTTCTTGACATTTTTCTGTCTTGGAAAGTGATTTTGCAGGCTAGCAGAAATATCGTTTTTGCATGAATCAAGGAGCATTAGTGGCAATAAATCTCGCAATAAATTATCCAAAAATTATAGCCGAAGAGAGAATTTGAAATTCCAAGGTGGTTTTGC